TTGTGAGAACAACAGAGCAGATGTCAGACCAGTTCCAACCCAGCGGTTGCTCCACAAATCATTTCTCCTCCTCACAGTTTTTACCTCCGTCACTTTTTCTCGACTCTCTGTGGCTCATCTTTCTTTGTGCGGACTTGCGCAGAGCTGCAGCTGTGATTTACCCTGTTCTAATTATGCTGTGCTCACTCTGTCCCTGCGGACCAAACTTTTATCAGTTTCTTTAACTAACCCGAGCCTCCCAGGTGAAAGATGAAATGCAGCATTTTAAAAGGTGTAACTGCAGAAAAGGACTCGCCCAGATGCAGACACAGTCACCGAACAGTGACTGGGACAGAGGGAAACACACCGAGTAAGTGTCTCAGCTTCCTGGAAGGCTGCTGAGCCCTAGGCAAGGATGAAGGCTGGAGAATTTGATCTCAAAGATACCTCATCACAGTTCTGTCTTTTACTAGCAACTGGGCATGTAGACCTCCCAACCTTTCTGACTCTCAGTTTTCTGTTCTTTAAATGATCATTTCTTATCTTTCTTCTGGATCTGTGTGTCTTGGCCCTCCTTCACTGTCAGAATTCTCTGATTCAAAGGAACCATTAATTTGCTCCATAAATGATACTGAACATCTATGCATATGATATCTTAGATTTGAAGATGTGAAGTCCATTTCTCATTCTGCTACTAACCAGGGAGGCAGGCTCATCATTCATCTCTCTGTATCACCACTTCTTTAACTGGCAAACAGTTATGTGACAACTTTCTTTTTAAGGACCTTATTAGCATGATTTTTAATCTCCTTGTTACGTATAAGGAAACTGAGGCAAGGCAGAGGTCAAGACCTGCTCAAGCTTGCATAGCAAGCAAGTTTCTGAGCTCAGAGTCAGAAGCTATACATTTACCAAGTTTCTAGATTTTAATGAACTTGTAAACAAAACCTCCCATTTCAAAATTCAGATAAAATCTTAGATCATACAGATGTTTACAATGACCATATTTATCTAAACAACACACACACATATATAATAGATGTTCAGTTGTAAGGTGTTAACTAAATCTGTGACAAATATACTTTTTTATACCTGAAGATTATTTTGCAGTCACTGTGTTTTTCCTTAAGTCTTTACTGCAGATGCTGTCATTGCCGACACAGGTGAGCAGAGTCTTTCTTATGCCCAAACACTGGACTGTTTGGTGGTTACCATATCAACTGGCTTGTAAACAAGAAACCAGCCATTTAAAGAATGTTTTGAGTGAACAACGTGCAAAACCCAAGGATGGAAAAACCCTAAGAAAACAAATGTGAACATTGACAACCATTGTAACTGTCACTGAAAATTTTTCATGCTGTTCTGAAATGAGATCTAAAAAGAGTATAGTTCAAAATAAAAGGTTTAGCAACAGCCACACAAATTGGAATATTTAGTTTCTCCACCAATTTGTGTATCAACCACTTGTTAATTTTTCCACTTGAAAGAAAATACAATAGAAGACTGGATGCCGTGTTCCCCTACCCCAGTCACTCTGCACAATGACGGCGGCTAACAACTCAGGATGCAGCATCACCAGTGCAGCCCAGAGTCAGTTTATACTGCAATTAAGCTCTTTACACAAGGTAAATGGTTGGCCACAGCCACTGGCTAGTTCATGTATGAACTGAAATGTCTAGATTTGAGGACACACCTGTGCTGCTCTGATGCACCACTCTGCAGCTTCTGTTTCTTATTCATGCTTAGAATGCTTTCATGTCACTCTGGATCGTCAACTGGCAGTGCCTGGTCTTCTGAAGTTCGAGCTTCATATTACTTCCTTGCTGTTGGTGACATTGCCCCCAAGATAAATGTCCCCAGAGAAGCCAGACCCCATCTTCCACGCCAGTTTGTATTTCCCTCTGATCCTGAACTTGGGTTCCAACACTTACAAGGGCCGGTCCACCCTGCAATACTATGAAGGCTGCAGGCAAATGGAAAACTGATATGCATTACAGGGCACAGAGCCTACAGAGGGAGGCACATTGCTTTGGCTTGGTTTGAGGCCAGGCTGTAGGCAGTGAGAGTGGTTGCAGGGGCTTAGGCTTAGCTGCTTGTCTCTGGGCCACTGCTTGACTCACCTTCCAGGTGCTGCCTCAGACTGGGAAGGGGATTCTATGAGTTAGGGTAGTGTGGTAACCCTACCAACCACTGCCACTGGCTATGTCCCAGGGACCAGTCACTCAGCCAACATTGGCAAAACTGACTCCATTTTACTCCAGCTGATTCTTACTCACCCTGTGTGTTTGCCCAGTTAACCCCCTGCTTATGTTCTACAGTCTGAGCTAGTCAGAACAGTCTCATGCAGGCAGTGCATTGTTTCTACAAGACAGGGAAACTCACATTCAGCCAGCCAGAGCATTCTCTCTTCCAGCTATACCTGAAACTCCAGGAAGCCCATTGTTTCTACAGCTCTGAGAAACTTGTTTTTCCTAACCAAAATTTAGAAACTGTTTAACTAAAAACTGCTTTGTTAACTGACCTGCCCCTGGTCTGGTGTAACTATGGTGATCTGATGTAAATATGGTTTTCGGCTTTACCCCTGCCATGATGCAACTGAGGTTTTAAGCTTTATAAAGCCTGCTCTGCTGTGTCTCTTCAGAATCAAGGGTTTTTGTTGTTGTTGTTGTTGTTGTTGTTTTTGTTTGTTTGTTTGTTTTTTTCGCCCAAGCCCCTCTGAATTGCTGGCTAATTAAAAGACTCTTAATTCGGTCATCACTATATGGCATTCTTCTGTGCCTTGTGCTAGGCATTACACTGTTATCTTGTTATTCTAGCCAACACAACATGCCCCCAGTCCCTTAAACTGCTCTTTTATGGTGCAGAGCACTCTGGGAAAGGCCATCTTGATCTTTTAAATGTACCTTTCCTTAACACCTAAATGTGGAATGGGGAAAGCATGCACTGTTCAGAAGGAAACATATCCAGGTGGTGATTCCTGTTTGGATTCTCATGTGCTGTGTTACTTTAGGTAAGAAATAGTTGTATGGGGCTGGAGAGATGGCTCAGTGGTTAAGAGCACTGACTGCTCTTGCAGAGGATCCAGGTTTGAATCCCAGCATTCACATAGCAGCTAACATCCATCTATAATTCCAGTTCCAGGGTATCCAACACCATCTTCTGACCTCTGTGGGCATTCAGCCAGCCAGAGCTGGGCATTACATGACACAGGTGCACTTACATACATGCAGGTAATACAACTCATACACACAAAATAAAAATAACAAAATTAAAAAAAAATGGCATGGTACTTAACCCCATTGCATGGCTTGGTGTGGATTAAGAGGCATAATGTCTGTGTGAATTTCCTGTTAGAGTGTGTGAAGCATAGAGAAGATTCAGATGCACCCTCTTCCATGAAGTTATGAGGCAGAGATACAAATATTTCAAGCAAAGATCTATCAAAGCATGGTAAAAACTGCTTCAATATTGTGCCTCTTCTATCAACCAGACTATTTGCCCATGCTATCCCAAATTCACACGAAGATTGTCCAGTAAGACCAAAAGATGACGGGTCAGAGAAGCTCAATAACACCGAAGTCACAGCAGGACTTCCTATGCCTCAGCTCTTGCAGTTGTGACATCTCTTGGCACAACTCCTTGCTACTTGTTGCCTCATAGAACTGCAAGTCTCTCAAAGCCAGGGATTATAGTTAAGACTTTTTTCCAGAGACTCCATTCTGGCCAGGATTGTGCATAGCATGTGTACAAAGGACATCAGTGTTTGAATGAACAGCTACTGAACACATCAAAGACGGGTGTACCAGTCTCTGATTCTGCCTTGTTTTTTCTGAGCAAAGAGCACTGTTCTGAGTTGTGTGTGGACATTGTTAGAACATCCCATCCTGAATAACTGATCTCCACACCATTAACAGGACCCCTAGCTCCAATCCAGAAGGCCTCCGATTTACACATAGAAGACTTCTCCCCTGACTCCCCAGAGCTAAGATCTCACTTCATCCATGCTGCCCCTGAGCTCCCTTGGCTGATGAATCTCTTCATGGAACAACAAAATGGAAAAAAGAAAACTTGTATCCTAAAATTCCAGCACGGAAATTCTAACATCCAGAGCCTCTGACCTCCCCTCAGATCGATACAGTGTGATCACTCACACAAAACCACTTCACAGTGACGCCCACTGGCAGAGCAAGCAGCTGATCAGATTCTTTGTGGATCAATGATTTTACACTTGGGATAATAGGATGTGTTTGCTTCCAACTTGCAATGTGAGAATAGTCCTTAACCTTACAGGACCTGCAGGCTTGACGTTGGTGGCTTTCCATCTGAATCTTAAAATGTAAGGAGTTTTCAAAGAGAAACAATCTGGGGGCTATAAGAAGGAACATCATAGGCAAAAATGTGCAGTAGACCATGTAGGACATGAGCAGAAGGGAGTGCATGGCTTTCTCTACTCTACCAGGTCCTACAGGGGGAGGCTAGTGCTCTCCCAGCAAAGCTGGAAGGTCATTACTCTGATCTCTTTTTAATAGATGGACAATCAGCTGTGCAGAGATTGGCACTCAGAATGTGCTTCCAGTGACCTATATCTTCATTGATGGGAGGTTACATTGCAGGGTGAGCTTGTCTAAGCGTACTCTTTCCAGAAAAACAAACAAGAAAGTCTAGGTTTTTTAGGATTCTCTTCCCAGAAACCTATGGTGGAAGAAATTTTTTTCTTTCATCTGCAAGTGACGGCTTTATAACTTGGTGAGTGGTATGGCTAGGATTTTCCAGACTTGTGTCACCTCTGGTTTTGTGGGATTTTTTTGTAGTAACTGATTGCTTTTATGAAGGCAGGAAGAGTTTTGGGTCTTGAGATGGGAACCTAGGATACCACAGTAAACCTCTGCCCCTGAGGGTGGGCTGTGTCTCCCTCGTACTGGACATTGTGCTTTTGTTCACTTGTTCTTCATTCGTGAAGCAGGCACGGTGCACTGCCTTGGAGGCAGATGCTCCCAGTCCCTCACATCACTGGTAAGCTGCCCTCCAGCGCTGCGCTCAGATGAGTCACTCTCAAAGGGTCCACGCAGGCCAGTGAGCCACAAAAGTGGCGGATGCTGGAGAAACAGAGACAAGAGCAACTGGTGGTGTCCTGGGTACAGTTGCAGGGAAGGAGGAGCCACGGATATTCCAGAAGGATTATAGAGAGAAGAGCTACTTGCCCTCTGGCTTTGGAGACGGGACACAGACTGTGGGGGAAGAACAGAGTTCATGGAAAGCTGAGGCTGGTGCTTGCAGCCCAGACACTTGAAAACTCAAAGGACACGAGGGCTTGGTTCCAGCTCGTCTTAGACATCCTGTCTTTGAGAAAGCTGGCTTCTAACATGAAACATAAAGCCCAAACTCACACGAATCAGCCTCCCTCCCCCAGCTATGCATTGCTTCTGGTCTGCTCAAAACCTGGGAATAAATTCGTTGTAACATGGATCCTCAAAGGTAAGTTTTTATTTTAGTGATTTTATTATCAAATATATACTAGGAAAGACCAGTATACTCTTGCACAAAGGGGACTTTGGAAATGTAAACCCTATGACTCTCTTCAAGATGCTACTTTGATCTCTGTAAACTCTTTGCTTTCGTTTCTCTCCCTCCTCCTTTCCTTCCCGTCTTCCCTCCTCTTCCTCCCTTTGTTTCCTTCCCCCTCCCTCTTCCATCCTCCTCCTCTTCTTCCTCCTCTTCCTCTTTATCCTCCTCCTCCTGTTTCTCCCACCCCCATACACACAGGTCTAATGCACACAGAATTCGCTTCAAACCTGATTTCTCTTGCTCGGGGTTCCTCTCACACTCTGTCCTTCCATCCCTCACACGTCTACATCCTGGGACCATTTTTCCCTAACAACAAAGACTCTTGTGCTGGGTATTGATTCCATTCTTTCAAATCATTGTACTGTGGGAACTGCCCTCTGCATGTGTGTTGAGTTTTATAGTTTGGGAGAATTTTTACTTTTGAATTAAGTTTTGCACAACTTTGGAACAGAGGGTTTCAATCACTTAACGCTGTTTCCTTGGGGGCTCCCTTAGCCCAGATACACCTTCCTTTAGCATGCAGCAGTAACTACCTAAAAGTTCATTTTGCAGGCTCTCCTTAGGGCATCTTGTTTATTAGACTCTGGGACTCTGCATTGCGACCCACTCCTCAGGCTGTGCTGATACACACTTAGAGAATAGAGGTTTCATATAATTCTTCTCCAACCCTGAGGGGATTTAAGGTCACCTGGGACTTTAACAAGATGTGGTTTTAGATCTTAGGTTTGGGATGTGGCCTGAGACCACACATCTAAAAGTTTCCACATTATATGGGTGCCTCAGATGTGGGGACCACACTAGTAGAGTAGGATTCATGGGTCTTGTTCTAGAGTTCACAGACAGAAGTCATAGATGTTAAATGAGTTTCTCTCAAAATGGGAGAATCATGAAGCAGTAGAGATGGATTCACAGTCATGGCTCTCCATATTCACTGTCAGAAATAGAGACTACTAAGGGGAGACCAGGAGATGGTAAGAACCTGGGTCTCTTGTATTTGGCTCCATGGGAGATAGGAATGGTAAAGGACTTAACCTTTTGCAACCTTTGGGCAATCCTCCTTACTTGCGTCTTCTAGATGGACCCCAGCCAGCTGATACGTGAGTGTTCATCACCAGCTTCCTGTTCCTGAGGCTGTCATATCTCCCTAGGCAGCCCAGGGCTTCTGAAAGCTTATGACCTATATAGTCACACAAGCCTACAGTGTTATCTCTGACATATTGTAACACTGTTACTGAGGTTTCCATACCTCTCTAGTCAGCCCAGGGCTACTGAAAGCCTATAACCTGTACAGTCACACAGGCCTGAGGTGAGAGTGTTAACTGTCAGTCCTAACCATGTTATGACACTCATATTGCCTCCTAATTAGTAAGTTTGAATCCTTTCTATGAAGTAAAGATCTCTGTCTCCCACAACAGCACAGACCTAGAAAAGGGGGCCGTAGAGGGCAGGCAGTATCAGGAAATTTTTAGCAGTGAACGTCCCGTGACTGGAGAAGAGTGGTACAGAGTCCAGAACAAGCTGAGGGCTGAACCAGGACTCCAACTCAGACCTTCTCTTCTGAACCTTCTACTCCTTTTTCTTGAAGGACTCACATAGATCAGGCTGAGCCCAGGAACACCTCATCTTCCTGCCTCCATCTCCCACGTGCTGAGATTACAGATACCATGCTACTTGTGAGCTGCTGAAGACAAGTGTTGCTGAGTATTGAGAGGTGTAAAAACACCTAGAAAAGTGGCCAATGAGAAGCGCTGGAAAGCACGACTGTCATCATCACCGTCCTCACTAATACGAACCCCTAGTTCTCAGATGGGGGGCCTGGCACTCCGCTGCGTGGAAGCCTGATCCCAAAGCGTGCAGGTACTGAGCATCTTCATCTTCAGATCCGTTTTTATTGAACTTCTGGATATTGGATGCATTTTTCTTGAAACCATCCATTACTAATTACACACCTATTCCAATCCAAGTAGCATCTTTCCTGATACCCTGGGGACTTGTTTCTTTCTGTTCTTACCTTCCTGCTTGGTTCTTCTCATCACAGCTGGCCTGCCTGGAATTCAGCCTCGACTTCACCTGCCCCGTTCCAAGGACACCCCCAAGCAATCCTGTAGCTCAAGCACAGATGTGATGCTGTCCCCTGACCCATTCGAAATATGTCTGGAAGACATTTCTATAGATGTAGTGTCAAGGGAGGTAAGTAGGGGATTATTCTGAATATAGCTGTATTTGGACATCTTCCAGGTATGTAAGGCCTTTATAGTCTCTCAGCTGCCTCGGGATCCTCAAGTATAGAATGAAGGAAATCTCACCAACCTGGGATGATCATGATGGTGAGCCAGCTAGAGAAAAGAGCAGCTGTGACTGCTGGGGCCTCAGATCAGCTGGTCAGCACCATGTGTGTGGTCTCTGTGACTCCTAGGTGAGTCATTAACACACACATGTACAGATGGGGAACCTGAGGCGAGGCAGGTTGCCTACTTCCTAGGCAGAGCTGCAGCAGGATGTAGATCTTTTTATTTTTATTTTTTTCCTTTTTCTTCTGAGTGCCTCAGAAGGTCAAATACTTAAGTGAATGAAGTCTTTGATATTTTCTGTTTCTATTTATTCATTCATTTTTTTGAGATAAAGTCTTCCTATGGAAACCAGGGTGGCCTCAAATGTTGTTTTTAAAAGATTTTATTATTACTGTATGTGTATGAGTGTTTGTGTACATGTAAATAACCATGTGCATGCAATGCCCGCAAAGACCAGAAGAGGGTGTTGGATCCCCTGGAACTGTGGTTATGGGTGGTTGCTGGCCACCATGTCGTGTGGATGCTTGGAATACAACTGTTGCCCTCCGGGGGAACAGCAAGTGTTCCTAGCTGCTGAGCCACCTCTCTAGCCCCCTGGCCTCGAACTCCTGATCCTTTCTTGCCTTGGCCTCCTGCATGCTGGTGTTAGAGGTGTGTGCCTCTATATGTGGAGGCTGTTTGAGCTTCTTGACTCAGTCTCTGCATCCTGAAGCTGTATTTCAGCGAGGAGACATGATGTACAGTATCACTCACTTTTGTTTCCTACAGGTTGGACATTAAGAACCTCATTTACGATGCTGGAGAAGTAACTCAGTGTTGGTTGCTCTGGAAAGAACCCAGACTTGATTCTCAGCACCCACATGGCAGTTAACCACCATCCATAACCCCAGTTCTCGGGGACCCAGCACTCTCTTCCACAGGCACTGTACATACATGATGCACTTACATACATGCAGATAAAACATTCATACACTTAAAATAAAAATTAATTAATTAAAATAGTCCTATCCATAGCCTTCACACTGTTAGCAACCTGATGCTTAATTAATAAATGCTTATAAAATAGAATTAAAAATGCTGTTTGAAAGACTCGTTAATGGTCACTGAGTGTAAACACTTCACAGATAGTGGACCTAAGACACAAGCTGGCTGAATTACGTTTATGTAACTTGGGTATTTATGTAATCTGGTATTACACTTGGATTTGAACTTGGACTTTGTAGTTAATTAGTTTTATGATCATGTATAATTTTAGCTTCACTGAATCTCAGTACTCTCACACAGAAGAGTAGATTTATGGTAAGTAACTCACCAGAATGTGAAAAACATTATTTAAGAGATGGAGATCAAACTCTTGAAGCCAGCAGTCAGCACAGCATAAGACTGGCACTGTTTCCTGTGTGACTAGGTTCTAGCTTGCTCTACCCTGATTTAACTGGGTGATCCTGCATAAGATATTCTTTAGTCTGGGTTTTTCTTTCTGCTAAATGGAGATTATAATAATTATAACTACTTCAAAATCTCACACTATCATAGCTCAAGTTATTATGGAGAGAGAGACAGAGAGACAGAGAGAGAGAGATACATAGGAAAAGCAAACAGATCCTGCTATACTATAAGCACAGTGAACGTCACTGATCCCTGGGACAGCAAGGGCCTTCCAGACTACTTCATAGTAGGTTTTGAAGTTTGAGCTCTTATCTAGGAACATGCAAGTCATTACCAAATGGCATGGTCACTTCACAGACAAGATCCTGTCCCATCACGGCGGGGGGGGGAGTTGCTTCAGTTTATCTTACACCCTATGTTCAGGGACCCAGGAGACAAGAAATGACAGATGTGCTCTCTGAGAGACGAACTTGAATGACTCACAGTAGGTGACTAGCAGTGGAAAGACCAGCTTGCTATTTGGTTTGTGACTGTTAGCACTATTTCTGTTTCTCACTCTGTGTGAGAGGAAATGTTCACAGAGGAGGCCCTTCAGGAGATAAAGATTGGCCATGTGGAGTCAGAGATTCAGGGCAGGGAGGAATGAGGCCTCTAACCAGTTTCCTCCAGAAGGCTCAGTAGGGTACCTGCAGCAGAATCAGATGCACAGAGACATCCAGGGCTCCTAAAGGCCCACTGGCTTTTCCAGATGCCCTATGTCTTCCTGGGACCTTATTTGTGGGTCCATGTTGCTGTGTTTGCTTCAGTAAATGCAGTAAGTATGGGGGTAAGTGCTGCATGCGTGCCACAGGATTGTCGTAGCAGGAAGCACTAAGCAGCCGTTACCCTCATCGCCCAGAGGACAGACAGCAGAGCACAGAGGCAGAAGGACAGTCTCACCTGCAAGAGGAGGAGCAGAGAACACAGGCTGATGTCGACTGGAGCTGGGGAGTGAGACAGAACTGCCTCTCATAGGAGGTAGAATGGGATGGGGTTAGGTGACATTAGCCTTTCAGGACAGAGGCTTGGACATTGCCTACCCGATCCCTCCATTTAATGGATGGAGACAGTAAAGGACATCTGAATGTTAGAAAGCTGAGCTTCAGCACTGTGGCAGGCTCATGACAGTTAGGAATCTAGAAATCACAATGTCAGTGTTGGGGGAACCTAGAAACACGTTTAGATATAAACTTGGTTTGTGCATGGTGAACAACCAGCAGCAGTGAGTAGAAAGGTGACCCACAGAACTGGCACTCGGGAGAGTGAAAAGGGACAAAATTATCGGAAGGCAACAGGCAACAAACAAGGCCAGTTTGAGCACAGAAAAGTACAGGATTCTGGTGGGGTCTCCGTGGCCTCCCTGAACAGGAGGACAGGCGACTCACCGCAGTTACAGGGTATTTTAAGAGATGCTCCATAGCCCCCTGGAACTTAGATGACCTTGGAGGACAAGGGGCAAAAACTACTCTTTAAGTCTCTCTGACCACATAGTATAGGCCTCAAACTATGGCTGTTAAACATCCAATAAGGTTAGTTCCTCTGGTCTGGTACTTTTAATTATCATATGCTACGTAAATAAACCTTGGGCAAAAACCAAACGTTCTCAGATAGACCTTGACTAGACATATATTTTGTTCCTTGAACTAGTTGACTAAACTATGACCCTAAATATTTTAAGCTTATGTGTATATTGTTTTTGACTCATCCTTTATATATAACAAACACACAGACCTTCATCACTTGCTTAGGCTTTCTCATTTTTTCTATTTTGGAGCAAATAAATTTTCCATCTGTTGGAAGAATTCTTTTCCTGGAGATACTAAGCCATGCTTATCCCCTTCTAAGGTTCTAGTGTCAAACCAATGTTTGATTAAAGTCTTACTGGCGAACCAATGAATTTACTGAACTTACTTACAGAGGTGACTGAGGGGTTGCTGAGGTGTATGAATGACCTGAGGGTACTTACACTGGAAAACATTTACCCAGCATGGGTCAAGCCTTCTCTTACCAGCCTTCCCCAGATTATATACTTTCTTTATCCCCAAATCTAGGAGACCATCTGTGATTAGGGCCAAATTACATATAGTTGCCTGGGAAGAGTGGCTGGATACTCCGATGAAGGTCCAATGATCCTGCTTGGGCCTCCTCTAATGAAGGAGCACAACTGTCAACAAGCCCAATTGTGAGTTTAGCAAGCAGACGCAGCTGAAGTCGTGATGATGGCAGTTATTTCATGCAGAAGAGACTGCTGTACAGCATTACCTTATTAAAAGAACATGGGATTTAAAAGGATTTGGTGCTAGGCTCCACAAATGAAGGAGAAAATGCACCTTTTATTTTTCTGAGTCTGTGTTACTTCACTTAGTATAACAGTTTCTAGATCCATCCATTTACCTGCAAATTTCATGATTTCATCTTTCTTTACTGCTGAATAGAACTCCACTCTATAAATGTACCACATTTTTGTTAACCACTCATCAGTTGAGGGTCAAGTGTTCCCCTTTCTCCACATCCTTATTTTAGGGTGGTTTTAATTTGCCATGGTTGTACAAGTGTCTCTGAAATAGGATGAGTCCCATGGGTATATGCCAAGGAGTGGTATAATCGGGTCATAAGGTACATTCATTTTTGTTTTTTTAAGAGTTCTCCATACTGTTTTCCATAAGGGTTGCATGACTTTGCAATCCCACCAGCAGTGAATGAGTGTTCCCCTTTCTCCACATCCTCCCCAGCATTTGATATCACATGTTCTTTTGATCCTAGCCAGTCTGATTGAGGTAAGGTGATATCTTAGGGTGGTTTTAATTTGCATTTCCCTAATTACTAACAGTGTTGAACACTCTGACATGTTTCTTAGCCATCTTCATTTCTTCCTTTGAGAACTCTCTGTTTAGATCTTTAGCACATCTTTTAATTGGGTTATTTGCTTTTTTGCTTCTTTTTTTTTTTTTTTTTTTTTTTTTTTTTTTGAGTTCTTTATAAGTTGAACCAGTGTCCAGTCTACAAAGAGAAGGGTCAACACAGAGGAAACATTTCTTCCATGCATCCAAGTGAAGCCAGCCACAGTTGAGCAGGACCTTTGACTTTTCTTCACACAGATGGAACTGGTAAAAGAAAGGAGCCAGGAGCTCCTCCTAAGCCCATGTCACTCCTGAGGAACAGATCCTCAAACGACCTTAAGTGTAGAAATAAACTGATTTCTTTGGGCCAACTGTATAGTCCCCCCCATCTAGAAGCCTTTGCAAGGAAACTGACACTGATTCTAGCCACTCCTACAGCTAATCAAAGTGCCTGAAAACAAATCCTGAGTCCATCACTCTCAAGTTCAGCCT